AGGCTGGGAAGGAGAAGAGAGGGTTGTGTGGAGACCTCAGAGCTCCTTCCAGTACCTGAGGGGGCTCCAGGAGAGCTGGAGGGGGACTGGTCATCAGGAACTAGAGGGACAGGACACAGGGAATGGCTTCCCACTGCCACAGGCAGGGTTAGATGGGATACTGGGAAGGAATTCTTCCCTGGGAGGGTGGGGAGGTGCTGGAATGGATTTCCCAGAGAAGCTGTGGCTGCCCCTGGATCCCTGGAAGTGTCCAAGGCCAGGCTGGATGGGGCTTGGAGCAACCTGGCATAGTGGAAGGTGTCCCTGCCCATGGCAGGGGGTGGGACTGGATGGGCTTTAATGTCCCTTCTAACCCAAACCATTCCATGATTCCCTAAGTCTCTCCAGAGCTGGAAAAACATCCCTGCTTGCATGGAAAGGGACACACTTAATCAGCTCAAGTATCATCACATTAATCTACTGTGAGCCCCCAGATTTAACACATGAAACCACATGTCAGATCCCAGCTGTGACAGCTGCTCCACTCATCCCACACACCCATAAGCCTCTTTTCTGCCTGGGAAAGACTTAGGATGACTTCTGACCCTGCAAAACCCCCAAATCTTATTTTTCACTTTGCACTTCCCCTGTTTGTTGCCTGCTTTGATTTGTGTCTAGGAACATCTCCCAGATGTTTCCATCCCAAAACCTCCCACAGGTTTGAGCTCAGCATTGCAAGGGGAAAGGAATAAACTCATGGATTTGTTTCCCCTGACACAATTCCTAAGCAAACTCCTGGGCACAAAGACATCCAAGGAGAAAGAATAAAAAGCAGGGAAGAAAGTGGTGATCACTCCCTGCCTGCAACAGATCTGGAAACAGAGGCCAAGAACAGGTTCCAGCAGAGGCAAGTTCTTCACACAACACATCCCCTGAAGAGTTCCTACAGGTTATCAGGGAAAAGAAGTGTTCACATGAGGCCAGAAAAAAAAAAACAGTTTATGGAGGAAAAGAATCACCATCAAACAAATATCACCCTGGAGCAGAATTTATCACGAGTTTCTCCCGTTCTTCCACTCCCCCCCCAGCCAGAACAGGGAATCACTGACTCCTCAGGCTCAGGAATGGTTTTTTTTCCAGGGAAAAATACTTGAAGAGGAAGTAATACCTTCAATCAGCAAAGCAGGTGACCCCCCTGGGGTCCAGCTGAGGCTCTCGCAGGACTCTGCTCCTCACTGCTCTTCTCACACATGGAGCAATTCAGACTTGATTAAGCAAAGGCCTGTGAAATCCCAGTGCTCCCAGTTTACAGTCAGGGCCTCCAAGGAGTTCACAAACCCACTGCCAACATCTCTTGCAACGCTGGAACTACCAACAACATCCCATGACAGGCAGAGCCGAGTCACTGCAAAGCCTCTTGGAAAACACAGCCTCTGCCTGAGCCCACCTGCCAGGGCATTCCAGGGTTGCCCCACGAGCCCACATTCCTAATTCCTTCCAGAAAGCTGGAAGAGCTGCCAGGCTGAGCGACCTGCACGCTCCCAAACCGTGCAGGGGGTGTGTGCAGCCCTGAGCTCTGACATCCTGCCACACGGGGCCACTCTCAGCCCGGGCTTCAGGCTGGCTTTATTTTTAAGCCAGTCTTAAGTCCCTGCATCAACCACACGCTGATTGCATTAGAGCGGGGAAAGCAGTCACAGATTCCAGGGATATTCTGCTGACCTGGCAGCTCTCCAAAGCAGGGGGGTTGCAGAGGGTGAGGGTCACCAAGAAGGGCTCACCCACCTCTGGTTAAACATCAGTAAGTTACTAATCACAAGTCCCCCCTTCACAGACCTAAGGAGACCAAAAGTTCAACCTGATGCTCACAATATTATCTAAGACAGGAGCATTTGGACCTGAAAAAAAGAACCCAAACCAGCCTGGGATTCTGGGATTGGGATCTGGTACAGAGCAAGGATTAACTGGCTGGTCCTGGTTTCTCCTGATCAGGGACAGCGGTTCCCTCCCATCTGACCAGGCCACAGAGAGCACATTTTCCCAGCTGTGGCCAAAAAAAAAAATAACAAATTCAACTGTCCTGGCCTTCAGGAGAGATCCTGTACAAGCTTAAACTCACTCCAAACCCCACATGGTAGCATTGATTTATCCAGAGGACACGAACTGCACTTTGTTCCGCCTTCCACTCGCTCCACACCCGAGCTCTGCAGCTGCCACCAATCCCAGCTTTGCCAACAAGGAGGAACACGAGCCAGGGAACTGCTGACCAGTTACACCAGCAGCAGCACTGAGGGAATTCCCTGCCCACTCCTGTCCCTCCGGATCCGCCAGGCTTTGGCCAGGCCAGGCTGCACCAGGCCCGTGGTGCAACACCAGGTCACAGCCTGGAATCACAAACACCACTAAGCCTCTTGAGCAATCAGGTGACTGTCCAGCACCAGGAAAGGCAGGTCTGCCCGCTGCAGTCACCCAGCAGGGCTGGCATAAAGGAGCAGTTGTCCAGAGGAAACACAGCCCCAAAGCCTCCCCCGTCACACACACCACGAGAGACCTCAGGGCTACCACGGAGCAAAGGGAAACCTCAACTCTCAACTCCCACAGCAGAGCAACTGCAGGATTACAAAGTGGGGGAGATGATTTCCCCACGTCTCCACTCAGTTAATATTGGATATCTGCAGAACTCACCCCGGTGAGGTGACAGTCACTGTCACAGCCCTGTAACACAGGCCTGTCAGAGGTATCCCTCCTCAGTGGTTACAAAAGTCAGGAATGAAATCCATTCAAATCCACCCCTTTTTGCACAACTGTTTTCTGTCTAAACTCACAGTATTAATTGGCTGGAAGCAGCCAAGACTAAAACCTCCTAAAACTCACTCGGGAGGCACCAGGTGGGCCTGGTGTGGAAAGGCTCCAAATTAGCAAGGAAGGGAGGAAAAGGCTGCAATCCCTCAGCGAGCCAGAAAACACTACGGATCCAAAGAGCCCCTCAGCAGGGCCAGGAGGGATTGGCAGCTCTCAGGGAGTTAAGAACCACAGAATCCCAGACTGCTTTGGGTTGGAAAGGACCTTAAAACCCATCTCATTCCACCCCTCTCCATGGGCAGGGACACCTTCCACTATCCCAGGTTGCTCCAAGCCTCGTCCAGCCTGGCCTTGGACACTCCCAGGGATGGGGCAGACACAGCTTCCCTGAGAAATCCATTCCAGCACCTCCCCACCCTCCTAGGGAAGAATTCCCTCCTACTACAAAGGCACAGAAAAACATGAACACCAGAAACACGGGGTCAGTTTTCAGTGTCCGTGGGGCCCATCTCTTGTTTTCAAGCGTCTCTCCCAGCCCAGAAGATTCCCAGCCCGTGCCAGGAGGGCACTGCCTGCATTTCCAGAAATCCTCTTACAGAAAGCAAAGGGCATCACGTTGCTGCTGGTTTTAAGCATGAAAGGGAGGGTGTGTTGCAACCCTGGGAGTTGCAAACTGCCAGAGTGCAATAAAGGAGATGTTTGAGCACAGTGAGCTCAGCAGAAACCAGCTTCCCTTCCACCTCTCCTGGGCTGCTGGAAATCGTTATTTCTTTAAAGGAATATTCCCTGGGGCCGCTCTGTTCATTTTAAGCCCGAGAAACGTGACATCTGTGCCCAAGCTTATCCCAAGTTGTGCACACAGAGTTTAGTTCGGGCTCCCTCGCTGCATCCGTACAGAAACGCTGATAAAATGAATCCAGGTTCATTTTCCAGGCCTGGAAATGAAACCTGTCCTGGAAGGAGCACAAAAGGGTGTGGAGAGGGATAAAGACATAGAATGTGATGGCAACTGGATGAGCAGCTCTCTAGAGAGGTAGCACAGACCCGCCCGAGCAGGGGATGGGAATTGTGGAATCAGGGAATGGTTGGGGTTGGAAAAGCCCTCCAAGTTGTGCCAGCACAGCTGGGATTATCAGTCGATTAATTCATTAATGTAACCACCCAGTGGAACATCCCTGACACACTCCACTCCCAGTCACACCAGTAACACACCAATAACATACCAGTGACACACCAGTAACACCAATAACACACTAGTTACACCCCAGGAATATGCCAGTAATGCACCAGTAACAGGCCAACTACACCACTAACACACCACTTATACCCCAGTAACACCAGTCACACACCAGTAACATGCCAGTTACACCAATAACACACCAGTTACACGTCAGTAACACACCAATAACACCAGTAACACCAACAACACACCAGTTACACGCCATTAAGACGCCAGTAACACCAACAACACGTCACTTACACCCCAGTAACACTCCAGCAGCACACCAGTAACACGCCAGTTACACCAGTGACATGCCACTTACACCCCAGTAACACTCCCATAACACTCCAGTGACACGCCAATTACACCAGTGACAGGCCAGTAACACGCCACTTACACCTCAGTAACACTCCAGTGACACACCGGTAACACCAGTGACTCGCCACTCACACCCCAGTACCACCAGTAAGACCCCAGTGACACGCCATTAACACCAGTGACACGTCAGTAACATCCCAGTAACACCACTAACACACCACTCACACCCCAGTACCACCAGTAAGACTCCAGTGACACGCCAGTAACATCCCAGTAACACCAGTGACACGCCACTCACACCCCAGTACCACTCCGGTAAGACGCCGGTCGCGGTCCGTGGCACACAGTGACACACGCAGGGACACACAGTGACCCCCGGTGACACACAGTGACACACAGTGACACGCAGTGGCACACGGTGACACCAGCACTGCCCCCCGCCCGTCCCCATCCCGTCCCCATCCCCCGGCCCCGCTCCGAGGCCTCGGCCCGCTCCAGCCCCGAGCGCGGCCCGGCCCGGGCGGGGGGGCGGCCCCCGCAGAGCCCTCTCCCCGCGGGGGGCTCCGTGTCCTTCCCTGCTCCCCCCGTGTCCCCCCTTATCCCCCCCATATCCCCCCGTCCCCCTCTCCCCCCTCTCACCGGCGCTCCCGGGGCCGCCCCCGCGCTCCGGCCCCGCCCGGGCCCGGCCAGACGCGTTTCCGCTGCCGGCGGGGCCGCGGGGCCGCCGGGACCTGCAGTCCGGGCACGGCATGGCCGGCAGCGGGGACACCGCGGCCCTGGAGACCGTGAGAGGGGACAAGGGGGGCAGGGGGGAAAAACGGGGGTCTGAGCGCCCCGGGGGCAGCGGGGAGCGGGGAAAAGGGAGGGGGGAGCGGGATCTGGCGGCACGGAACGAGGGAGAGACGGCCTCGTGGTGCACCGGGAGAGGGGGCGGGTTGGATATCGGGGGGTGTTTCTTCGTGGGAAGGGCTGTCCAGGCCCTGGCACAGCTGCCCAGGGCAGGGGTGGAGTCCCCATCGCTAGGGGGATTTAACAGCCGCGTGGATGTGGCACATGGGGACATGGGACGGTGGTGGCCTTGGCAGTGCTGGGGGGGGGGGTTGGACTTGGTGGTCTCAGAGGGCTTTTCCAGCCTAAATGATCCCGTGGTTCCACGATTTTGTGATTCCCAATCTTGGCTTAGTGACAGGACGCTCTCCCGTGATTCCCAAGCCTGGCTCAGTGGCGGGACGCTCTCCCGTGGTTCCACGATTCTGTGATTCCCTAGCCTGGCTCAGTGGCAGGGCATCCCCACGAGGGGCATTGTGGCATCGCCATCGGGACAAAGGGTGACAGCGGGGGACCCCCAGCTCGCAGGTCACATCCTAGGGCTTGGTGCTTCATCCCAGCAGTGGGGAACAGCCCAGATCCCTGTGCAAAGCACCCCACCTGCCCCACAGCCTTCCCTCTCGGCCCCGTGTCCAAACCCCCCCGGGTGTGTCACCCCCAGAGAAGCAGCGAAGCTCCTGGTCCTGCTGAGATCAGGAATTGTACCTGAGGACTTCTCCCGGGTAAAGAGTGACAAGACAAGAGGAAATAACCCCAAGCCAAGGGGCTTTACAGCATCTCTTCTTTCCCACTGGTGACAGATCCAGGCGGATGGGACAGACGGGAATTGCGTCACCTTCGTGCTGCACGACGAGGATCACACCCTGGGCAACTCCCTGCGCTACATGGTCATGAAGAAGTGAGTGGAGCCTCTGACAGGGCTGAGGGAACCTCTGTGCCCTGCCCTGGCCTTCTCCTCATTGATCCACACCTCAGCTGTCGCTGGAAGGAGGCAAATGATCCCAAATCCCTGTGCACACCTGTCAGAGCCTTTATGTCCCCCAAGGGGCCCTGCTCCCACCTCCTGCCTCTGCTCACAGGATTAATCCTTTCCTTGGGCTGTGTCAGCAACCTGAGAGCACCAAGAGGCCTTAGTGGGCCTGACCAGGCTCCACCTTCACCCTGCCTTGACCAGGAGCCCTGGTTAAGCTCAGCTGTTGGAGGAGTAACTGGGTCTCCAGCCCAGCCTGTGCTGGGCCAGGGACTCCATTTGTTGCCCACAGGTGGGTTGGAAGGGACCTTAAAGCTCATCCAGTGCTACCCCCTGCCATGGGCAGGGACACCTTCCCCCAGCCCAGGCTGCTCCAAGCCCCGTCCAACCTGGCCTTGGACACTTCCAGGGATGGGGCAGCCACAGCTTCTCTGGGCAACCTGTGCCAGGGGCTCCCCACCCTCACAGGGAATTGATTCCAAGCATCCAGGATTCCCTGTTTGGGCTCTACAGCACTGCCCCTGCACTGGTTGTGGTGCCAGGATGGTGCCAGCCAGGTCTTTGCCCTACAAAGCTCCAGCTGCAGCTCAGGGACAGATTGGGAGGGAGTGAAGGTTCCACAGGTGATTTCCTCTCAGCAAATCCCTCCCATGAGACCCTAAATCGTGCTAGGAACATCCCAAGCTCCAGCAGGTGTTGGCTCCACCTTCCCTGATGTTTGCTGTGGCTTGGCCTGGGTTTCACTGCTCCCTCTGCTCTCTGCCCTCCTGCAGCCCTGACGTGGAGTTCTGTGGCTACTGCATCACACACCCCTCTGAGAGCAAGATCAACTTCAGGATCCAGACCAGAGGTAGGGCTGGGGGCTGTTCCTGCATGTCTGGGCTCTTTTTTTTCATGGAATTCCCCCCTGCTCCTGCCGGCTTCCCTCCAGGACTCATTCAAGCCAAGCAAAAAGCCCTTTCACCTGCTCTCTGCAGTGCTGGGCCCCACAGCTGAGCCTCACAGGCTGCTCCCAGCATGCTGCTCCAGCTCCTGTTCCCAGCTGGAGTGGGGAGCAGTTCCCCTGGCTGGCAGCAGGCCCTGGCACAGGGAGCTCAGCCCTGGGTGGGCAGCAGGGTGGGTGTGGGTGGGCACACGCCTGGGGGAGGTGGGGCACTGGGTCACAGCTCACAGGGAGGGGCCACCAGCCCTTGGGAGCCACCTCAGTGTCACTGCTCAGCCTCTGGGGCCACCTCAGTGTCACTGCCCCTGCTCCCTCCCCACAGGGGCCCTCCCTGCCGTGGAGCCGTTCCGGAAGGGGCTCAATGACCTGATGGCTGTTTGCCAGCACGTGCTCAGCACCTTTGAGGTGAGACCATTCCTGAGGGGCTCAGGAGCCTTTTCCATCTCTTGGTCCTGTTTCTGTCCCCGAGGCCCGTGCTGGAGGCACCTTTGCCATGAAAACCTGGTGGTTTTCTTGGGCATCCTCTGCCTGGCTTCCTTTCCCTCGGAGTGACTGCGAAAATCAGTCGCTTCCAAAAGTAGCTGGGGCTCTGTCAGAGCTTCCTGGCCTTTCCAGGCTCCAGGCAGAGAAGTCCCAGCGCTGCAGGGTGGTGGCACTGGGCTGCAGAGTCACTCAGGGACAGGCTGCTGACCTTGGTGCTGTGCTCTTGTTGCAGAGGAGCATGAAGGAGTACCGGGCACAGAGGGAGGAGGAGATGCAGTAGCCTTTGGAGATGGCATCAGTGGATGTCCCCATGGCTGCCTGTGGCATCTGTGTGTGGAATTCCCTGCGTCCAAGTGGGGGTTTTTAGGTTGTTTTTGCATGGCTTTGATGCAAATTGTATTTTCTCTATTTAATAAAGTTTATTCATTTAGATGCTGCTGAGGTGATACTGAATTCTGCTCGGCCCAGGCGTGGAAAGCCACAGAACCATGGAATGGTTTGGTTTGGAAGGGACCTTAAAACTCATCCAGTCCCACCCCCTGCCATAGGCAGGGACACCTTCCACTAGGCCAGGTTGCTCCAGCCTGGCCTTGGACACTCCCAGGGAAGAATTCCTTCCCACTATCCCATCTAACCCTGCCGTGGCAGTAGGAAGCCATTGCCCCTTGTCCTGCCTCTACATACCCTTATAAAAATGGTGGATAGAAGGCAGCTCTGTCACTCTCCCATCACATTCTTCCCCTCTCCAAGTGTTTTTGCTGTTTTCTAGCCAAGATTTCCAGGTCAGAGTGTGCAGTCAGGTGCACAGAACAAGTCTGAGCCCACAGGGAGCCAAGGGGCTCAAATCCATCTTTAGAGGGGCAGCACCCTCTCAAATTCCTTGCCTGTCATTGGCCCCAGCCTTCCTGCCTCACAGATGCCCCCCTGCTCGTTTGGGGGGTGAGAAGAGTAAAAACCCACTTTTTCCCCCCTCAGTCCAAACTTCCCCCTCAGGGGAAGGAGCCTTTTGTTGGGTATAACGTGGTGTGAAATCACAGGGGGTTGAAGGCTTGGGGTTATGCCCAGGGGCCAGCTGAACCCTGGATTTCCTAATCCACCTCCTTTTCCTGAGGGATTGCTGCCAGGGATCCACGATGCCTGTGCCAGCTGGTCCCACACACTGTGGGAGCTCCATGGAGCAGTGGGAGTTGAAATCACAGACTCCATTTGCCTGTAAATGTGGACAAATACAGAAATACACAGAATTCTGATCTTTTTATAGGCAGAATCATTAAAAATACCCAGGTGTCTGTCTGAGCTGGAACATCTCCATTTTTATCACTTTTCTCCTTTGACTTCATTTTGCCACCAACAAATGCAGGCAGAGCCCAACAGCAGCACTGCAGCACAGACACAAATTACTCCAGGAGGTTGGGAAATGTATGGAAAACAGGCTGGTCTACATATTCCTCACCTTCTGCTTTCCTTGAGACCCATTTGTCTTTCAGAAATACGACTTGTTTGTAAAACATTTGTAGCTAAAAAAAAACCCACGACCCAACACCTGGAAAATGTTTTAATTGCAAGCCTTTTCTCCTGTTTTCCTCTCTCCATTTTTTTTTTTTCCCATGGTAAGGTGAAAAGGGGAAAGAAATAATAAAAAAAAAAGGAATAAGAAAGAAAGGAAACCCAACAGAAAATCATCAAAAACTGGGTAACTAAAACTTTGTCGTGGAGGTTTTCTTACACTTTTGGCAAGAGGTTGTTAGAATAAACATGGAATTGTGGATTGGTTTTGGTTGGAGGGGACCTTATAGATAATTTCTGCCACAGGCAGGGACACCTTCCACCAGACGGGGTTGCTCCAAGCCCTGTCCAATTGAAAATTGCTGGAAAATCGCTCAGGGATTGTCGGGAGTGAATTTGGGGCAGCTCTTTGCGTGTTTCGGTTTGTTCCAGAGGCTCTTTCAGCTGAGCTTGGACCTTCCCCGCTGCCTTTTCCACCTTCAGTTGACCCCAAGGCCGTCTCTGTCCCCTCCCAAATGCCATGGCACTTGGTGGCACTTGGCCAGGACACGTTGGAGCTCAAATCCAGCTTTTTCCACCCCTTTTTCCCTCGAGATCCGGTGAATCCCCTCCCAGGAGCCCTGGGCTGAAGGACATTCCAGCTGCTGCAGAGCCTGGATGGAGGCTGGATGCTTTCCTGGAGGGTCACACCTGGATCCCATCCCTTGCCACCTGCCCAACAGAGAATGAGGTGCTTCCAGGGGGTTGGAAAGGTGAGGGCTGGATCCTTGGGACCAGCCTCACCTGGATTGGAGCCATCTCTGCCTTCCCTTTTCCTGGGCTTACCAACTCTTCCCTGGCAGGAACAGCATTCCCAGCCATCCTGGCGCTCCCTTGGCCCTGGGAAGGGGAAGCTGGACCCGATGGCGTGGCTGGATATTCCCACCAGTGACACCTGGGGACTCCTGGTCCCCAAACCTGCCTGTGCCACTCACAGGGTGGGTGAAACCACCCCTGGCTCAGGAGCCTGGGGCAGGATTCCCAGGAAAAGGGGAAGAGAAGGGGGCTTTCAGGGTTCCCTGGGGCAGGTTGGTCACACGGAGAGGCTGAGGGACTGTCCCCACCATGAGCAGGAGGAGGGTTCCCACCACTGCCAGCCCTCCCTGCATCTCATCCTGACTCCCAGTCCCAGCAACCAAAGCTCTTTTTTTCCTTTTCCAGCTGGGAATTGTCTCTCGTGGTCCTCTCCCCTCTCCTCCTCCTCCTCATCCGACATCCACCTCTCAAAGCCACTGCATCCCAGCCTTCCTTCCCTTTTCCTGCACCACCTTCCACCCCGACACAAATGGCCAGAAGTCACTTGGTTTTCCTGCAAGGAAATGAAAAATCCTGTCAGGATCTGAATGCCCTTCCCCCTCCTGCAGGGTGGGGGGCAGAGCCCGGGCCCAGAGCTGGGCCTGGGGGGGCCATGGAACGCTGAGGCTCCTTCCAGGTGGGTCACAACGTGAAGGCAAAGATGGTTCAGGCCCAGCCAGGAAAGAGCCATGGGAGAGGAGCAGAGGGGTCCTGCTGTCCTGGCCCTGTGCCTTGTCCTTGATTTGGGATTTAGGAGGAGCTGTACTTGTTGCTCAGGCGGGAGCTGCTCCGGTCCAGCCCCAGCTCCTGCCCCGTGGCTTTCCACTTCCCGACTGATCCCTTCTCATCCGTGGGGGTGATGCTCAGGGCGGGCCTCTGGCACCAGCAGCACAGGCAGGACTGTGAGGAGACAAAACAGGAAAAGAGGAGGGAATGTTCTGGTACTGGAGCTGGCAGGTCACCCTGTGCAGTGCCAGGCTGGGAATCGCAGCCTGCACTCCTGAGCCTTGCTGTCCTGCAGGGCTGCTGGGAGCAGGTTTTCCAGGATAGGGCCAGTGTGGATGGGAAATGAAAATCCTAACATTCTGGGGCACTTTTTACCAGTTGTGTTTTCTTGTCCTTAAGGGACAGAACACACAGGCTCAGCTCTTCCTGTTGCCACAGCAGCAGGGAGGTGGTTCCCATCCCATTGCATCCTACCCTATCCTACCCTGTCCTGTCCCATCCTATCCCTTTCTCAGGGGTCCCCTTCTCCTGAAAATGATGTCCAGTTAACTTGGACCCAAAGTTTGGAGCAGCCCCAGTCCCCTCTCTAGTGGTTTGTGAGGATCCTCCTGCTCCAGAAGGAATTTTTGTCCTAGATCCTGCTCTGGCAAAAGCCTCCCCATAGCAGGGCACCAAGCCCAAGTGTACTTGGAGCTGGGAAAAGAGGTGCCTAGCAGGGGGGATGTTTGGGATGAGGAATAAGCTCCTCTTGTGTCCCTGGGACTGAAATCTGGGATCAGTCAGCACACCCAGGAGCTCTGGAGGGGTCACTCCTACCTGGAAGCAGTTCTTGAATTTCCTGCTGACAAAGTAGAGAGCCACGGGGTTGATGCAGGAGTTGAGGGAGGCCATGTTGATCCCAAAGTAATCCATCACCAGGAGGAAGCTGAGGGGGGAGAAGAGTGTTGGGAGCTCACGGAGAACTGAGGGAGGGTTTCCAAACTGCCTGGCCTGGGATTGTGCCCCCATGGAGGGTCAGGGACTGAGAACAGAGAGCTGAGCGCGAAACAGTCCTTTGCAAAGAAAAAAAACACCTTTTCCTTGAGAGGAGCATTTCCTGAGGAAGCCAAAAGCACGAGCTCTGCTTCCCCCTGGTGACACCACGTCCTCCAACTCCAGCACAGCAGCATCCAGCCCGAGCTGGTTGTTGGCTTGTGGGGGAAAGGAAAAGGGAGGTGGGCACCCACCACATGGGCACAGCCCTGCTGGGAGTGCTTCCCCGCCCTGGAGACACCCTTAACCCACGGATTTTTATAGAGATATTTCAAAATATAACTTGACCTCTTCTCACCCCCTCCCTGTACCCATCACGGAGGGTGATGCTGCCTGGAAAAGCCCTTGTTGAAAGCAGGGGCTGGGAGGCAGCTCCACCAGCCTGTGCCGGGGCCACCGGGGCTCCCAGCCGGGTGCCCACCCCCTGGGGCTCCTACCTGAGCAATTCACATCTGTTGGGGTCCGTCTGGTCGTAGATGGTCTTCTTGAGGATGCGGCTGAGGTGGAGGGGCAGCCAGCAGAGCGCGAAGATCACCACCAGGCAGAACACGGTCTTGGCCACCTCCCGGCGCTGCCAGCACAAGGTGAGGGGGGGGAGAAGGTGATCACTGGGGAGCAGGTGGAGCAAAGCAGGTGGACCAAATCATGGAATCATGGAATACTTAGGGTGGGAAGGGATTTTAAAGATCATCCAGTTCCAACACCCCTGCCACGGGCAGGGAGACACCTCCCACTAGACCAGGTTGCTGCTGAAGTCCTGCAGCGTGAGATCCAGCTCAGTGTGGACCAGAGCCCTTCACAGCCCTTCCCACCGTGGCCTCCTGGTGGCTCTGCTGGGGTGACGTTCCCTGGGATGTGGGGATCTCATCCCTGGGACGTGGGGATCATCCTGCGAGGCTTTGTCAGCTCCCACCTGTCCCTCACAGCCCCCCGCTTCGACAGCTCTCCCTCCTCTTCGGGAAGCAGCAGAATTCCCGCATTCCCAGGCCCCTTACCCGTTTCATGTGGTCGTTCAGGGCGATTCTCATGCCGTTCCTCTTGCTCAGCATCTCACATGACATGAGGGTGTAGAAGATGCCAGTGCACACCAGGGGCAGGCAGAAATAGAAGCCGAAAAGCCACCAGTCCTTCACATCCCGGTAGAACTGCGTGGGAAAGGGAGAGCCACTGGAAACTGGGGGAGGTAACAGGGGCATGGACTGGCCCTGACACCCACTCTGCCTTGTCCAGGCACTTTGGATGTGTGGAGGGGCCACAGCTCCTGCCCTAAGCACACGGGGGGATCGTTTTCCCCTAAGGCTGCTGCACAAGTTTCACCTAAAGGAGCAAAGACTGGTTTGTATGGAATTACAGAATCGCCAAATCACGGAATCATTAAGGCTGGAAAAGACCTCCAAGACCAGCTTTTCCCTGAATACCACCATGTCCACTAAACCTCTGGCTGCCAGGTGGCACTCCAGGAGGAGCCTGTTTGTTGGGCATGGTGGGTTGACTAAGGGTCTTCCTGTCCTTGCTCACCGAACCCTAAGTTAAAGGTCACCTGTGCAAACAGGTTGTGGGGACCCTCTTTGTCCTGCTGGGACAGTCTAGGAGGTCCTGAAGCTTCCTGAGATGTGTCAGGACCTGCTGTGGGTGGGTGGTGAAGCACAACACAGCTCCCTGTTCCCCGGCCCCACGTCACTCCAAGGCCTGTGCTTTGCCCGGTACTGCCCTCCCTGCTTTCCCCCAGGCCAGGAGCCACCTCCAGAGGCATCTGCTCCTCTAATCAAGGAGCTGACGCTCTTCTGACTGAGTGGTTCATTGTGCCGGGCGCTCACGTACCATCATGAAGCGGGATTTCTGCTCCGAGGCCAACATGCACACCCACAGGTGCTGCTCCCAGTAGCTGAGCTCCACCATGTCGAAGGCGATGGCCTCGGGCACCGCCAGCACGATGGCCACGGCCCAGATCAGCACCACCTCCACCGCCTTCCACATGGGGATCCCGATCCCCTGGATCCGGCTCCAGGACGCCACGGCTCGGTACCTGCCCCGGGGTCGGGGAGAGAGAAGCAGCCGTCAGGAAGGGGGTGAGGAGGGGCAGGTTGGGGCTGTCCCCAAAGGCCCTTTCCCCTCACACCTTTCCTCCTCCACCCCACAGCCTTCTTTAGTGGAATGGGAAGCAGGGGCTTGACCAACATCCACTTGCCACCCTTTCCCACCACCACACCCCTTGTTCCAGCGTGTTCTTCCCTCCCGTCTTCCAGCAGGACACAACTCAATTCCTGCTGGATTTCCAGCCCACGTGACAGCAGCTTGTCCCCACCTCGGGACTGTGCTGGGACCGAGGATTTTGGGTCATGGTGAAGGGGCACGGACCGGGCGGGGCAGGTGTGGAGGTGGTTTCCTACCTGTCGATGCTGAGAGCACAAAGGCTCAGGACCGTGATGCCCACGGAGGCTTTCTGGATGAAGGGAACCAGCTTACACACCTGCACTCCGAAGGGCCAGTCCTTGGCCAAGAGCTGGGGAAGAACCACAAGGTTATCAGGCTGCTTTGGGAACGCTGGCCCAGCTTCCCATAACAGCAGGGGGGTCCCCACGAGGTGTGAGGAGCCCACAGAGAGCAGCACGCTGAGGTTCAGGTTGGTGTGAGGGTCCTGGGAGCCTTTGGTTTCCCTGAGGACTCCCCAGTGGGATGAGGGGACACGGGGATGAAGGATGGTCCAGACAGCAGGTTCTGACTCCAGACCCTGCGTGGTTTGGAGCAGATTTGAGTCCTAAACACCACCACAGGCTTCTCGGGGTTGTTTTCAAAGGGCAAAATGGGAGTTGTGCTTTGAAACAGCCCAAACCCAGCTGGGATGGCTTAAGCCACATGTCCTGAGCCTTCCCCATGCTCTGACCCTCAACCACACTCACATTCCTGTCAAAATTTATGCACTGTGACCCTGTGCTCAGCTGGGATAAGCAGAGGGGACCAGTGGGGACAAGGTGGAGGCAGGAGAAATCCAGGCCACCCACTCATGAGGGTGAGAATGAGCCTGAGTTCACAACCCTTACACCCCCACGACAGGGACACCTCCCACTAGCTCAGGCTGCTCCAAACCCCATCCAACCTGGCCCTGGACTCTTCCAGGGGTGGGGCAGCCGCAGCTTCTCACAGAGATCCTGCCCAGGGCACCATCAGCAGCCCCAGCCCTGCTCTCAGCCCACCTTGTAGACGTTGATGGGCAGGGCGATGAGGATGTAGAGAAGGTCCCCGAGGGCCAGGCTGGCGATGAGGACGTTGGGCCCGTTCCTCATGCACTTGTTCTTGTAGATGATCCTCAGCAGGGTGGAGTTGCCGATGATGCCCACGACGAAGATGGTGCAGGACACGATGGTGTTGATGTACTTGAAGACGTGCCGGATGTCGGCGGGCTTGGCGCACACGGGCAGCAGCGGCGGCTCCGAGGCGCTGCTCCTGGGCAGGCTCTCCGACAGGTTGGACCCTCCAGCATCCTGGAGGAGGCTGGGCTGCACCAGGCTGTAGGCCTGCTCCTGGCTGAGCCCCCCCGAGGGGATGGTGCTCTCCTGGAGAGCCCGGGGGGTCTGGCTGTGAGCCCCGGAGAGGAGGAAAGTCAGGATGACGGCCAGAGCAGCGGGGGCTGGGGGTGTTGCTGGGCAGGAGCAAACGGTGGAGCTGCTGGCAGGAGTCCTCATAGTGCTCGTGGGGTGGCCTTGGGGTCTTGGTCGGGTCTGCAGGTGGAGAAAGGGACCAGGGAGAGAACTTCGTTGGCGGAGGAAGGAGGAACGGGGTTCGTGGAGAGGGAACTTGGTTGGTTCAGCTGGAGCAGAGGAGACTGAGGGCAGAACAGCGGGGGCTGCAGCTCCTCCTGAGGGGCAGAGGAGGGGCAGCTCCATCTCTGCTCCCTGTGAGCAGGGACAGCCCCCAGGGAATGGCTGGAGCTGTGTCAGGGCAGGCTCAGGGTGGATCTCAGGGAAAGGTTCTTCCCCCAGAGGGTGGTTGGCACTGAACAGGCTCCCCAGGGCAGTGGGCACAGCCCCAAGGCTGCCAGAGCTGCAGGAGGGTTTGGACAATGCTCTGAGGGACAGGGGGGGATTGTTGGGGTGTCTGGGCAGGGCCAGGGGTTGGACTGGATGGTTCTGGTGGGTCCCTCCCAACTCAGAATATTACTGCTTTGATTCTATTGTATTCTATGAATCACTGGAGAAAGTCCATCCTCACAGAGGACAGAAATGATGCCAGATGGGATCCCACCAGGTCAGAGCAGTTGCCCCTGTGGTGAGAGGTTGTGCTGCTAAAATTAAACAGACCAGTCCAGAAAAACAAACTGAAAGGAGGACAAACAGTCCCTTGTGTCTCTGACGTGGCATTTTGGTGACTGAGGCTCCTTCCTTGGCTCAATGGGTGTGTGGGATCAGCAACTGCACCTCTTGCACTTGGCATTGCCCAATTTCCCTTAATGTCCACCCCACTCCTCATTTATAATCATGGAATCACTGAGGTTGGAAAAGCTCTCTCAGATAACCCAGTCCAACCTGTGCCCCATCCCCAACTTGTCCCCCAACCCTGAGTGCCACATCCAGTCCTTCCCTGGACACCTCCAGGGGTGGGAACTCCACCCCCTCCCTGGGCAGCCCCTGCCAGTGCCTGACAACCCTTTCCAGGAAGAAATTCCTCCCCTGGCACAGCTTGGGGCCATTTCCCTTCATCCTGTCCCTGTTCCCTGGGAGCAGAGCCTGATCCCCCACTGGCTCCCCCCTCCTCTCAGTTTGGTTTTGGGTAGTTTAGTTCCCAACTGCAGTTTTGAGACCTCTGTGGACACCTGCACGTCTGGGCAGTTCTGCAGTCCCAGCTCAGGGTCCACAGGACCAGCAGAACTTTGCCAGTTCATTCCATGGGGAAACTGGAACTGCACCAACACCCCCCTGCCCAGCACAGTCCTGCTGGGAAAACACCACAGGGGTTCTTCCAGAAATGCCATACTGATCCTTGACATCCCATTCCAATTTAAGTGCAGCCCTTCCTTTCCCCACCCTGGTCTCCCTAAATTGAACTCCAAACCCGCTGTGCCTGCTCAGCTCCATCCTCAGGGATTAAAGCTCCCTGTGCTCTCTGCAGTCCTGGCTGCTGAGCACAGTGAAAGGTAAGGAAAGCTCTCCAAGGCTGGAGCACTAATAAATATCCCTGGAAATGCTCAGCTTTGCACATCTGTGATGGCACTTCCAGGCAGGACAAGCCAAGCTGCTGCTGCTCCACAACCACAGGCCAAAGCTGGGGGGGTTGGTGGTGGCACTGTTCTGGAGCGATGTGAGTTTGGGGAAGGGGCTTCTGGATGATCCAGATCTGGAATTGAGCCCAGAGAGGGAATGGGAGAGGGCAGCAAAGTGCCAGTCTGTGCCCCAGACAGGGACAGATCTGAGGGCTCCTGGTTGGAGGGGGCGAGGAACTTGTTTGAGGAACTGCGAAAGTTTCCTGCTCTGGAAACTTTCCAGCCCTCTCAGAAGGGAAGAGAAGTTGCTGTGCCTGGACTAAGAACAGGAGCCTTTTGGGATTGCCTGGGATCAGGGAGCCTGCCTGTGATTAGAGCTGGGACTCAGGCTCTGCTCTGACTCCTCCAGGCAGAGTTGGGATCTCAGCCTGGAATCTGCTCCCCAGGACCATCCAGCTGAGGCACTCCAGGGTTGTCCAGGACCCTGGGGATCCCAGGACAGGCAATGAAGTGTGGTGGGAACGCTGCTCCCACTCTGGGAAGACACTGCCAGGCCAACCAGGGTGCCCCCAAGTGCGACCACAGCTCCTGCAGAAACTCCTGTGCACCCCCTGTGCCAGGGGCTCAGGATTTGTGGAACTGCCTGGGCACTCAGTTGTGTTGGGAAGGGGGGAAGAAAGGGAGGGAATGGATAAACAACCCCAAGGAGCACAAACCTGGACACAAATCCCTGCTCTGACCTGTCCCAGGGACTTCAGCCCTTGCTGAGGTCCCCAGCTCGCTGTCCTGCCCCAGCTCTCCCAGGGACAGTGTCCTGACCTCTCCACCCCACTGTTCCCACAGGACTGCAGCTCACAGGAGAGGGCAGACCCAGCTCAGAATTCCTGCCAGAGATCCCTGAGGGTTTGGGCAGCAGCTTTGGTTGGCACAGACAAGCACCTGGAGGAAGTCGGTGAATCCTGGAGCCAGCACTGGCAGAGGGCACCAGAAAATCCCTGGAAGTCATTCCCTGTGCCCACCCCAAGCCCAGAGCCTGGTGTGGCTGCTCAGCCCCCGGGGCTTTGGCAGGAGAGCTCATGTGAGTGAGGATCACAGGACTCAGCTCTCTGGGTCCTCCCCAGCTGCAAAGCACCAGAGAAAAAAAAACAAACACTTCCCTCCCATCTTGCCTTAAAAAAAAAAAAACAACAGTCAAATCTTTTACTAACTCCAAATTTTAGCCAAAGACAAGCATTGTTTCCTCCTGTCCAACAGCCCACCTACTCCTTGTCCTCCACGCTGCCTCACACCTCACAGGGCTTGAAAGCACAGCCCTTTCCCCAAGTTTTGGGGGAAAATGAGGCATCAAGAAGCTTGTTCAATGGTCAAACCATTGCTTAACTCAAAATCCTCTGAGCTTTGCTCGTGCTGCTGATCATTTGGGGAGGGATGGGACCACCCCCATCCCACCTGCCTGCCTGAGGGGCCTCTCTCTGTTTGGGAAACTCCACTCTGTGCTGAGCCCAAAGCACAGCTGGATCCACTGGAATCTTGACAGGGACATCAGGGAGCGATTCCCAGAGAGAAAACGAGACTGAAAACCGTCACCATAACCCTGCAAAACCTGAAAGGTGCCTTGGGTGGGCTGGGGGGCTTGGGAGCCAGGAATTCTATGGGAGCCAGGAATGCCACTGCATCCTCATGTCCAGCCGGTCCCCCTGCCTTCAGGAGCAGCTCCTTGTGCCAGACTCAGCTCTCCGAACACCAAACAGACCTTTCCTGTGGATAAATATCCCTTGCAGCAACAGTTCCATGCGTGGGGGACACTGGAGGGAGAGAGGAAGGTGGTAATTCCCCGTTCCCGGCTGCTCCCTGCCCTGAACCCGACCTGCTCCACAAACGGGAGGAGTTTCTCCCAAAGCTGTGCTGGATTTCTGCTCTCCCTGCCCAACTCCTGGACCTTGTCCAGGCACCGCGGTCCATTCAACACCTTCCCAGGAGGGAGCTGATCAGGGAGGGGAACCCGAAAAACGTGTAAAAAAAAAACCTCACCCCGAAGGAAAAAAAAAAAAAAATAAATCCCTTTGTTCGCAAATCAGAGCACGGAACAGCAAAGCCTTTCAGCGGAGTTGAGTTACCTTAATCTGTGAGACCGCGGGTTTTGGGTGCTCCCGGGATCAGATTCTGCCCCTCTCACGGCTCCTTCCCCCCGCGCGGCACTCCGGGCACGTCCTGGGAGCAGGTTTAGATCCTGGAGCTGGGTTTGTTTTGGGAGTGGGGGGGAGGGGTTGGTGCTCAGGGGATGTTTCTCCCCTCCCGTGACTCGCCGAGCTCTCCCCACAGTGGGTTGGTTTTATAGAAACTCGCGGGGCTCCCCCGAGCGCAGCCCCCGCCACCAATGGGTGGGGAGGGTGGGATGGGAAGAGAGGAGGGAAAAGCGGGAGAAACGCTCCGGGAAGGAGCGAGAACAACAAACAACTAAAGCTGGAGAGGGAGGGCGAGGGCAGGGCTGGCAGGAGCCCCGGGGCTGGGCTGGAGGGGAAGGGACCTGCAGCCCCCCACGAGATTTTTTTTTGGGGGGAAAAAAAGAAGACACCAAAACCTCCCTTCCTGGGGTGTGGAAAACCAGCTGCTGCACCTGGAGCTCTCCAGGAAAGGTTCAGGAGCAAGGTGTGTGCTGGCAGCAAGGCAGGGAGACCCGAGGGGCCCTTCCAGCAGAGAGGACAGAGCAGGAAAGTCTTGGCTGAGGTGCTGGGGAAGGACAAACCACCCTGAGCCTGGTCTGGTGGGGGAAACAGGTCCAGGTGAAGCAGGTCCAGGTGAAGCAGATCCAGGTGAAGCAGATCCAGGTGAAGCAGGGCTGGGAACAGGTTTCCATGCTCCCATCTACAAGAGGTTGCCCCAGTGGCTTTTCCCACCCTAGCTCTGGTTTTATTCTGCTGTGGTTTCTGAGCATCCTGAGCTGCCTGCAGAGCAGGGTCTGGTGACTCAAGGGACACTCCAAGGCCATGGGGTCACACCAGCCCCCCATGAGCCACATGTCCAGTCCAGCCTCTGCTGCTGACCCAAAGCCTTCCCCCTTCTCTCCACCTGCCTGTGAACAGCAGATCACAAGCAGAGCTTCCAGGAGGCTCCTCCTGCCTTTCTCCAAGCTGTAGAAACCTCTAGGGAATTTGGCCAACTCTGTGGATCAAATCTCTCCCAACCTCCTTGGTTCATCTGCTGGGAGAAGGGAATTTCATTCCCTGCCTGGATGTGACCCTGGCCCTGGAATGGGGGTTTGTTTGGGGGTGGCAGCAAAAAAGGCCAAATCACAGGATTATGGATGGCAATGTCTGGAAACATGATCTCCTTCGACCTGATGTGCCTTCACTCTGGGAAGGAGCCTGAACCTTTCCTTTCTGTCCTTATTTTGGGACAAAAGGGGCAAAGATTTGTTCTATCCCTTGGAAGTGTCCAAGGCCAGGTTGGACAGGGCTTGGAGCAACCTGGGCTGGTGGAAGGTGCCCCTGCCCATGGCAGG